TTTTTATCTTTTATTTCCAATATTAATTGGTAAGTTATTGATATTGTGAGTTACTTAGGGTATCTGGAGGATTAAATTTACCTGGCGCCCATTAAGATCTATTTGAAATTTGCTAAGTTGTTTAACCCACTCCCGTCTCCACTGTTTAGCTTAGCCGCGGATACCCATCTGTCTTATTTGTTACCGACAGATGATTTAGTCCCCTCTTGTGGTTTGTGAGGTGACAATGGAAGGTGCTACAGACTATGTACATTATAAATTCGTTTCAAAATGTTGGCATTCTGTGTGTATGAAACCGCAATATATTTTTTCCTAGCTCCCTTGCCAAAACGGCTTGAGATAAAGCTAAAAATGTCTTTCCGCATTATCAGTTTGTTTTTTCGACCCTCCGTCATTTTCACGCAGGAAACATTCCCTCGCAGGAAGTGTCTGAAGTTGCTACAATATCGGTCCGATAGCTTGCGGCACCCCACTTCGCTCAATAGGCTGTTAATAGCTCACCCGCAGATATCTAACACTGATTCAATTATTATCTCCTGCAGGACTGTTTAGGAAATATTTACCCTGCCTGCGAGATTTGACAACTTGTCTCATATCATTAACTCGCTTGTGTAACACGAGTGCGGGTATACGAATAAGTGGAGGTTGAATCCTGTCAATTAATCTAAAATTCAATACAATGATAATAATGAATAAGCTGGAACTTCAACTAGCGTTTCCTAATATGACTTATAACTAGTTTGTACAAAGCTTATTGCTAAAATAATCTGAAAATGTAATTTTTAACGCATGACGATCAACTGTATTGCCAAACAGCCTATTCCCAAAAATGGCAAGAAAAATCTTCCAAATAACTATAGACCAGTCGCTTTGCTATCAGTGATATCAAACATTACGGAGAAAGTCCTAAACCACCATATCCACAAATATACATATCTTCAAAATCTTGAGCGTTCATTATAGCTCTCGGAAACAAAGATCAATAGGCGACCTTCTATCGTATGTCTTCCATATTTGGAATAACGCAATCGAGAAACATGGAGAATCAAGAGCTGATATTTCTAAGGCCTTTGACCGTGTGTAACATGAGGGTTTGCTGACCAAACTTCGATGCTAGTCGGTAATGTTCGTGTATGTCTCTACAGCTTTCTGAAAAAACGTTCCCTGCAAGTAGCCGCCAGGGATCCATATTGTCTCCAATCCTCTTTTCATTGTATATCAACGACTTATTGAAAAAACCAGGAGTTCAATATATTGCTTTGTTGATAACAGAACACTTGTCTCGTCATTTCATTTGGATTCCAGGACATCGACTACGGAGGCACATCTTCACCGGCAGCAGGAGGTTGCATATCTCAATGAGGATCTGGGAGTGATTTCGAATTGGGGTGAAAGCAACCAGGATGAATTCAATGACACAAAAACTCTGGCATCAGTTTTCTCAAAGAAGATAAATGTTTCAGAACCGGATATAATAATGTCAAGATAGAAAATTCCGCTTTCTGCTTCGATTGTTGGGGGTTAAAATAGACACCAATATGTCGCTGGAATTGTGAAGGCTGCTTCTCAAAAGCTTGGAACACTGTTACGAACCAGGAAACTGTACACACCTCAGCAACTTTTGATGCTTTATAAAACTCAGATCAGACCTTCTTTGGAATATTGTTCTCATGTATGGAGCTTTGCCCCCAAACATACCCTGAAGTTGCTGGATTCCATCCAGAAAAGAGCCATCCGCCTGACTGGAGATGCGAACATCACGTGCAACCTTGTTAGCCTGGAACATCGAAGAAAGGTTGAAAATTTGTCCCTATTCCATAGATACTCCATGGGAATTTTTCAAGTGACCTGGCACATTTGATTCCATCAAGAGCGGTACATATCAGGAATACACGACGGACTGTGGCTGCTCATCGTTTTGAGGTTCAACTTAGTACACCTGGAACTCCACTGTTCAAAAACTCTTTCATCTGGAGAACTGCGTTTCAGGAAGTGTCTGAAGTTGCTACAATATCGGTCCGATAGCTTGCGGCACCCCACTTCGCTCAATAGGCTGTTAATAGCTCACCCGCAGATATCTAACACTGATTCAATTATTATCTCCTGCAGGACTGTTTAGGAAATATTTACCCTGCCTGCGAGATTTGACAACTTGTCTCATATCATTAACTCGATTGTGTAACACGAGTGCGGGTATACGAATAAGTGGAGGTTGACTCATGTTACGTTGGCAATAGTGCGCTGAGATATTACAATTCAAAATAGACTCATGAAAACGGACTCTTGAAACAACCTCATATTTTATCAGTTCAGGTTTTATAAAAATTGATATTCATGAAGTGACACAAGTGGTATATGTCAATATTAGAGAATGTGGTTACCCCTTTTGAACATTATACTTATTCATTGAGTTATTACCCATTTCGGTTCTTCTGTAAGAGTCCAATAAGAAATCCAAAAAGCATAGGATTCATAAAATTCATAAAGAAGAAAAGACAATTGAAACTTTCTATGGTTTTTACCACTATTATTTGTAACGTTACTGCACTTTCGTCCTATAAGGACATTTTCAAACTTATACATTAAACTAACAATGATTAATTACATGAGCCCTTATATAACACCACTGTAGTTAATAATAGAGGTACTTAGCATGATTGAGTACCTGACTTTTGTTTACTAGTGACAATGTAGCTATTCTAATTTGAAAACCGGTGAGTAAACTAAATCGATTTGATCATTTAACAGTGCCAAAGTTAAAGGGGACAAGTTGGACCTATTTCTGGAGTTTATGAGCTTAACCGTAATAGTGTTTATGTGGGACAATGTGGTCGAAATTTCCAAAAACGTTCCCGAATCTAAACGATACGTGAATTTTGCACTAGGCAAGGAAGGGTTGCAAACTCAATTATTTGGAATCCTTGGAAATTCACAAGCATTAACATTGCGGTTGCAACCTGTTAAATGATCAAATCGATTTAGTTCACTCACCAGTTTTCAAATTAGCATATCCACATTGTCACTAGTAAACAAAATACTCAGTCAAGCTAAATACATCTACTATTACCTATAGTGTTGTTAATGTAATCAACCATTGTTAGTTGAATGCATAGTTTGAATCTGCATTAACGTTAGTTACAAATAAAAGTGGTAAAAAACATAGAAAGTTTCTATTCTTTTTCCTTCATTATGATTTCCTACCACGTAGTAATGGCTGCATCCATCAATTTATTGAAATACATATGTTTTTTGCTCTTAACAATTTACACGCATTTCAACATCTGTTGTTAAGTTATGCTTTAGGAAACTCACCCGTTTTTACTTGATATTTTAGGGTGGTAGCACAGTCGTGAATCAGCTGTTGAAGCGATACTCCTTGTTCAGGAACTCTCAGATCCAGCAGTTTAATCATATCTTCGGGATGATGGAAATCCAGAATTTTTTCTTTGCGATCATTTGTAGCCTTCACGTGGTCCAACAGGACGTCTACAACTTTCTGCAGAAACTCTCTAGTTGTTTTTTCGCTCTCTACCTTGTACGGTAAAATATCTGAAAAAATTAATAATTTTTTAATTTGTAGTCAGTAAGTACTTCAGCACTCAGTGCTTGTATGAAAAAAAATTCACCAACAAGTGATTTCTAACAGGTATAAAATAGTGTTATAGTATAGTATTTTATTCAGGTCGATATGAGTATTACAAATTATATACATAAAGTTTTACAAAAGAGACTTTCGAACTTTGACAATAGATAATGACCATCTTTCCCACACAACCACCCACACCCACGCCACAGCCAGTACTTGTACTTCCCTACAGAGGATTGTCGAAAAGGATAAGAAGGATCGGGTCCAAGTATAACATCAGAACCTGCTTCAGATCTGGAAACACTATCCGTAGCAGCCTCACGAAAACCAGGCCCCCCAACGCGAACTGCGATTCCGATTACCGGATACCCTGCAAGTGCGGAGAATCATACATCGGTGAAACTAAGAGGTCATTGAAAGTTCGCATTGCCGAGCACAAGAAACACAAACAGCGAAGAGAAATCAGCAAATCAGGAATAGCAGAGCAGAGAATAGATTAGTCAATGTTCCTCTTTCAATAGATAATTTTGATAAAGAACTCAATATCATCAAGCAAATTGCGGTAAACAATGGGTTTAAAGCCGAATTAATAAACAAAATACTTGCCAAGAAAGTCTACACAAAAGCGATGCGAGACGTTTTTCCCATTGTTAAAACCGATAAAGCGGTGAGAGGGAAGAGGGGATAGGTGAAAGCACTCGAATGACCTATAAATAGTCAGATCTTGGAGAAATACGTCCAGTCATCACCGAAGACGATTGTGGCAGTTTTTTCTTCAACGCTGGCAGCCATGTTTTTTCTTTAACACCACACATACCTTGTATATTATTGTTCTCATATTATTCCAAGCGCCCTCGAATAGTTATCTTTCAAACCGCGATAATGCTGCTCGATTCTCTGTCGTACGCGTGACCAACCGAACAAACTGGTTATGTGACAAATTGCTTCGTTTTCATTTGCTGTTGTCACCGAATCGGTGTTGGTGACCTACTCAATATAATTGTTATTTTCCAGAAAGTTTTCTTCACAGATTTTTTCAGGGATTTGAAATCAATTCATATTATATTAGAAAATGGAAGTTCGAACTAATGAAATGCACCACGAAACATCGTCAGACACTTTCAATTGATGGCCATCTTGTTGGAGCTATAAAATGGGTGTTCTGTTCGGGCAACGTACCGCGCGGTTCGCCCATTTTACTGTCTCCATAATCGTCCTACCGAGAGGACGATTCGCGATGTGGTGGATGAATTCGAGTCCACTGGTTCAGTAAACGATCGACCAACACGTATATGTCGACGAAACGCAAGATCTACTGGAAACATCGCCGATGTCTGTGAGAGTGTGCAGGGGGATCCAAGGGAGTCGATTTCACGTCGCTCACAAAATTTCGGCCTTTTGAAGACCACAACTTTGCGAATTTTGCGTCGTAACTTGGGCCTGAACCCGTACAAAATTCAACTGAGTCACGAACCGAAGCAAAACGACCATTGACAACGACGTGTGTTCACTGAATGGGCACTGGAGCAGTTGGCAACTGGCCCTGAATTTTATCGAAAAATCATCATTAGCGATGAGTATTACTAGAGATTTTTCCCAACACCAAACCGTTATTTTAACACCTCGACACGTGTTTCGATCACCAAATGATCATCTTCAAACGAAAGATCTTTCGCTTGAGGATGATCACTTGGTGATCGAAACACGTATCGAGGTGTTGAAATAATGATTTGGTGTTTGGAAAAAACCTAGTGATCACCTTCAAGAGGAAGATGAAACTGTTCAATCTACCTCTTGAAGATGATCACTTGGTGATCGAAACACGTGTTGCGTTGTCAAAATAATAATAATTATTCTTGGTTCACTGCGCTTGCTCAGGGCACATGATTCTCGGACCCAATGACCACTTATCCCACGGTGTGGGGAGTGGTCATTGGTTGATAATGCTGGCGCGCCCTCCCGAAAGTATCGGGGCTTCAGGGGATAGAGCCTGACCAGCGCACACGACGGTGAAAAAAAAATGATAATAATAACAATGATAATAGCGTTTATTGACCAACAGATTCCCATTTACAGAGTAAAACTAACACAAATACTGCAACAAAAAATATCGATGTTAGTAGAAAGCTTGTTCGCATTACGACACATCGGATTGATTGGTGATTTCAACATTCAGTTAGTTTGTGCCCTTTTGCATAAATAAGTATTGCTGTGCCTAGAAGATATTCTTGGAAGAAAGATATCAATTTCTGATAATAGTACAGGACAATTCAATTTGTCATTCAATAGCCTATATAGAAATAAAACAGGTGCCTGATTTCTTATTTTTTCTAAGGCTTCAAAGTCAAATCTACATAGCAGATCAGGGTAATCGCAGTTTCTTGGAGGATAAGTTCCGGTCATTCTGAAAGTAAGAAATTTCAAAAACTTCTTTTGGTCTCTATCAATTGCTGATCTATATTGATGGTATATAGGATTCCATATAATGGACCCATATTCTAATTTTGGCCTCACCAGACTGAAATACAGAGATGACAAGGTTAGCATATTATGAAAATTTTTGCAGTTCCCTATTACAAAACCGTATGCGTGGTAAGCTGAATTTATAATATGATTAATATGGTAGTTGAAAGTTAGTTGATGATCAAAATAGATTCCTAGATCCCTAATATTCTCAGTTCTTTCCAATATAATGTTGTCGATGTGGTTAGAAAATTCTAGTATATTACTGAATGTAACAATTATACATTTAGATATATACAAATGAAGGCCATTCTTGAGACACCAATTTTGTAAAAGATCAATCTCCTTTCGCATAATGTTACAGTCATCTAAACTGTTTATAGATGTATAACGGTTTCGTTTTGGGAAAAGCTTCAGTAATATTCATTACTACACCAAAGGTGCATCATAAATTAGCGATGCTGCCCGTTCCTGGATGAATGAGTATGCAAACAAACGAAATTGTTGTATTTTCGACGATACCAATCCACATGACATCCAAGAGCGTCCAATGCATCCCGAAAAAGTCACCGTGTGGTGTGGATATTTCATATTTCTTTGAGAATGACGTTTGGCTAGGCCATCCCTGTCAACGGCGAGCACTATAGGTCGATGATTACTAACTTCTTTTGGCCTGAATTGGATGATATGGAAACCATTGGCTTGAATTGGATGATCTGGACAGCATGTGGTTTCAACAGAACGGCGCTACGTGCCACATAGCTCATGTAACATGAGCTACATTGGATATTCTGCACGAGATATTTGACGACATGATCATCTCACGTAGGGGTGATGTAAACTGGCCACCAAGATCGTGAGTTTTGATCCCGTTAGACTTTTTCTTGTGGGGTGTTCTTATTTGTATCTGTAGAGTAGCATTTAGGCCACATGTGACCCATTGAACATCCTCCCGAGGAGTTGCCCTCCTAGGTCATCTTTCTTCCTGTTCTTTCCAGGAAGGTGGACAGGTCACTGGGAGACATCTCCTTTCTATCGGCAGGTGTAAGCCAAGACTCGCCGAACACACACCCTCTCATTGACGATAACTCCGGACATAACATGGGACATGCCTGACTGTCTCATCATCCTGTTCACACATCCTGCATAGAGGTGTGTTCACTAGCCCCATATTATGAAGGTGATTCCTTAGTTGACAGTGGCCAGTCAGAAATCCTACTGTTGAGCGTAGATTTTTCCTGGTCATCGCCAGATGTGTGGTTTTCTTAAATCCCAGGTGTATGTGAAAAAGCTACCAACAACAGCGGTCTTTAAAGCCATCATAACCCGTGCAATCGGCCATATTCAGCCTGATTTATTTGCCACACTTTATTTTATTAAAAATCAAAGATAGGAAGCACTTAATGAAAGACCAACATGTAGAAATGAATTTTATTTTTTTGGCAGTTTCCCAAAAACTTGGACATTGTACTCTAAACCGTGGTTTTTCTGCGAATGAAATTCCAATGTGACGAAGGTATGATTAATGCCCCCTTCTTTTATGAGTACTGTAGAATCTTTGGATGTTTGTTTTCCACCGAGAGCCAAAATACAGTAAATTTTCTGATCTCCATACCAAGAAGTCTGAAAAATAAATGCATTGGTAAATCGATAATTTCTGAAGGCAAAGTTTTGAACTTGATCAAGAATATGATTGAGTGAGATAAATGAAGTAAAAGGAAAGGAGTGTTTTGTGTACAATTGTTTTTATAAGCATGAGAATATTTCTGAAACTCAATTACGTAGGAATTAACTCGTTTAGGAAGTCATAGACAACATGCAACATAACATTGGAATCAAATCCAGCCAAGTCACCAATTTCATAATTTCAGTTTTCAAATCATAATACGGATATATTCCACACCAATGCTAATTTTCCTAATTTTCTTGCCATAACAATATTGATTGATAACCTTATCATGGCTATTGATTGATTTGATGAATAGAAGTTTCAGGTGTATGAATTGTATTTGTATCAAAATTTGAACTGTGTTAATGATGGTTCATAGATAACATTTTGATTTAATTCGAGAAAAACATTAGAAAATAGGTATTATAGATTGAGATAACAGTCAGAATGACGAAGGCTTTATTCAAAATTCAAGATATAACTTGATTGAAACAGGGTTTATTACTAGAAAAAAATGTAGATAACTATAATTTTCCACACTGAAATGGCAAAGTGATTCTACAAAACTACTAAGTGTTGTTATCAGATTGGCTATATACTTATGATTTAAGAATAAGCTTTGCACGGATTGATTATCAGTCATATAAGGAAACGCTCGTTGAAGTTTTAAAAAGTCACATACGTTTTTGCTACCTCTCAAACACGTACTACAAAGTGAACTAGTGAGGATTTTCCCAGCAAAAGATCTACAAACACACGACGAGCTAGACTGTATGGAATCATTCAATCCAGAGCGGTCAGGGGTATTGATTCTGCTGTTTTGCTGTTCAC